TAGCTATTAGAGAGATGCAAATCTAAATAACAAAGTGATTATCATTTAAACCCAGCATTGATACCAAAATTAACAACAACAACCGTAATGTTCACTGCAGCACTGTTTATATTATAACAGCAACAAATGGAAACCGCCTAAGTGCCCACGATGGACGAATGGACCAACAAACTATGGTACATACACGCTATGGAACACTATGTTAAAGAGTAATGATGAATCTGAGAAAAACCTCACAACATGGGTGGATCCAGAGGACATTATGCGGAGTGAAAATAGTCTATCACAAAAGGAAAAATAACGTATGAGACTTCTACTACAAAAATTCAAGGAAAGGTTTACTCACAGAAAGAAACATTCTTAGAAGTTTACCAGGAATGGGAGGGAAAGGAAAAAGCAAGCCACAAAGTAGAGGGTAGAGACATATAAGTATACTGACTTGCATGAAGGGAAAGGCAATATACAATTAGGGGGAGATTAGCACAAAATGATCAGGGCAAAGAAAGACACTAGAAGGAGTTAAAAGCAATAAATACTATAACATACACAATCCTGCATTCCTGTTAACAATACTCCATGAGTGGATACATAGACGGACGCTCAAGGAGAATGGGGATACACTCGTGAGTAAATCTACATCCATCTTGTGAGAGGCCATTTAACGTGCAACTATTGTTCTGTCCCCATTCCAAAGAAAGGTGATCCAACGAAACGCAGAAAACATCACACTACATCTGAAGTCACTAATGTTATTCCTCATTCATCGACTTTTTCTGAATGCAGCCTAAATTTCTGGCCTCTCCCTGTCAATGAACTACAGCAATCATTTTTAAAGTATCCTCAGCCAATTTTACTTGCAAGTCGTATTTTTTGTGCGTGTTAATTAGGTGAATGTTTACAGAAAAGATCATCAGCTCTACATTCAGCAAACCATACACCTTGTTTCATCTCAATGATTACAACATCGGTCCCATTTCTTCCTTGTGGCTCCTCATTCACATCTTATATTTCACAAATGAACAAGGTAAAAACATTTCATGTGCACCTACAAGACAAACAGTATGTATGTTCATTTAAATGTCCAAAGAGCACATTCTGCCAGCCACTCTCTGTATCGGCTGTTGCTGCTTTTCTAAGTAGGAATCCCACGCTTCACTCAGGCTCTTCCTTCTTGATGGTTTGGGGATTATCTGCTCCTGAAATCAAAGATTACCTAGTCCTTCCTTTTAGTTACACGTCTTCTACAATTACAGTTGTGTTGCATGTGATATTAATGATGATCTTTGATGATCTCTGCATTTCGTTGGGTCATCTTTGTTTGGAAAGGGCACACATATAGATCTTTTCCAATCAATTGGCCAGATAGCTGTCTTCCACATTTCGTGGTACAGATAAATGAGTGACTCTAGTCGCATCAGTTTGTTGAAATATTTCCATTTGTATCCCATCAATTCCTAGGAACCTGCTTATCGTCAATGCCTTCAGTACAGCTTGGATTTTTTTGTTTATGACCATTATATTTGGATCATACTGTACTTCTTGAAATGACTGAATATAGACCAATAATTTTTGTTCAGTGACTGTATTCCTTCTATCTTCTGTGGATGCTTCCTGCATCATTCAATATTGAGCTCCCAAATCCTTCAATATTGCAACTCTTGAGTTGAAGTTTTTCTTAAGTTCTTTCAACTTGACAAATGCTAACCATGTTCTTCCCTTTTGCTTTTCTGACTCTAGGTATCTCAACATCTCATTGTAATACTTCACTATGTCTTCTTGTAAAGAATTTTTTCGTAAAGAAATGAAAAAAAAATTCTCCTTTGAAATTTTCTCTTCCGTTCTTTCACGTCATCATTCCTTCCAGTCACGGTCACTTCTCTACATTCAGAGTCTCTTCTGACAGCAATTCTGCCCTTTTCTTTTTAATGACCTTTGGCTTTCTTCATGTTCTTGATGTTATTCCACAATTCCTCTGATTTTCTGTCATTACTGTCTAATGCCTCAAATCTGTTCTTTAGATGATCTCTAAAATCAGGTGGGATAAACTCAAGATCATAATTTGGCTCACATGGACTTGTTTTAATTTTTATCAGCTTCAGCCTGAATTTGCATCTGAGCAATTGGTGGTCTGTTTCACAGTTGGCCCTGTTTGTTTTGGTTGATGATATTGAGCTTCTCCATTTTCTCTTCCCACAGATATACAGTAACTGTTTATGTTTTTGAAAAAAGGGAGGACCTCTGGCAGCGTAGTGGTTACAAATTGGGCTGTGAACCATAAGGTCAGTGGTTTGAAACTACCAGCCGCTCCATAGGAGAAAGATGAGGCTTTCTACTCCTGTAAAGATTTACACCCTAGGAAACCCTGTACAGGGTCGCTATGGGTCGGAACTGACTCGACGGCACTTAACAACAACAACAACAACAACAACTTGCAGTGAAGAAGTCATTGGCCTTATAAAATTCTGTGACAAGATTTCCAGCATCGTTTCCATCAACATGGCCAGATGTTCCAACTACCAATCCATTCTATCTGTTGCCAACTTTTGCATTCCAATCACCAGTAATTAATCAATGCATCTTGATTACATATTAGATGTTAGACTAGAGAAGTTGGTAGAGTTATTCAATTTATCATTGGCTTTCGTGATTGGTGCATAAATTTGAATTACAGTTGTATTAACAGAGCTTCCTTGTGTTGTTGTCAAATGTTGTCCAGTAGGTTCAGACTCGCAGCAACTCTGTCTAGGGTTTCCAAGGATCAGCTGGTAGGTCTGAACCACCAGCCTTGTGGTTAGCACTCCACAGCTTATCCTACAGTATCACGTCAAGTTCTCCTTGTAGGTGTATGGGTATTACTGTATCACAGGCAGCACTGTATTTCAAGACAGATCTTTAAATGTTCTTTTTGTCTCTGAACGTGATGCCATTCCTCTTCAATTTGTCATTCCAGCATAGTAAACTGTATAACTGTCCCATATAGAATGGCCAACATCAGTCCATATCAGCTCATTAATGCTTAGGATATTGATCTTTGCGCATTCCATTCAGTTTTTGATGACTTCCAATTTCCCCAGATTCATACATCATACATTCCACATTTCTATTAGTGGAGGTTTGCAGCTGTTTCTTCTCATTTTGAGTTGTGCCCCATCAGCAAATGAAGGTACTGAAAGCTGTGCTCCAGCCACATTATTAAGGCCAATTCTACTTTGAGGAGGCAGCCTGGCACCCAGTCATACTTTGAGTACCTTCAACCTGAAGAGATCATCTTCCAGCACCATAATGTTCCACTGCTATTCATAAGGTTTTCAGTGGCTAACCTTTCAGAAGTGGTCTACCTCGCCTTCGTCCTAGTAAGTCTTAGTCTGGAAGCTCTGCTGACACCTGCCCACCACGGGCGACCCTGCTGGTATATAAAATGCCGATGCCATAACCTTCAGTATATCACAGCAACGCACTAACCACCACAGTACGACAGACTGACAGATGAGTGGTGGTTACAATGAATATCAATAGATATACTGGTAATAAAAAGTTCTGTAGTTGAATGGTTGGTAACCTTTGTTTAAATGGATCATTTCTGTAGGAATTCTCATATCTCTTAAGATGCTAGTGTGCACTGTGAGTCTATAAGAAACAATACGTAGCGTGCCCAAGCCTTTTCAGCTTTGGTATGTGCTGGTATGTGGAAGGACTAGCGCCGGAGTAGTACATACTAGGCTAGAATGCCCTGTTACTTTATAGCTAGCTTCCACAACGCTTGCCCATGGACCCCTAAACTTTCTTCTCTTATTATTAATGCCCTTGGTATTGAAAGTCTGTCTCTAGACCTGGACTTTTGGTCCAAGTTTATTCTGAGTCCCCAAACTTTCTTTTAGTTCAAGCGTACCACAAACCCACAAAGGTGCATGCCTCCCCCAGCATGAGTACAACACGGCATATGCAAGCAGAGGAATATACAATCAGCATCTTTCCCATATTGACTACAAGGTCGTCTTCCTGGAACCACCGAGAGTTCAGCGATTCACAAAGATGGGGCAGTCTGGCTTTCATTTCCTTTAGCTTTATTAGATCTGGAGATAGCAAATGTATTTTGATTTTGATGATGGTGGTGGTGGTAGTGTGCTGTGGAGTCGGTTCCAACTCATAGTGACCCCGCACAGGATTTCCAAGGCTGTTAATCTTTACAGGAGCAGAAAGCCTCATCTTTCTCAGCTGGTAGTTTCAAACTGCTGACCTTGAGGTTAGCAGGCTGACTCGTAACTGCTACACTATCAGAATTCCTTTTTGATTTTAATAGTAGACTGTGTTTTCATAGACTCTTCAAAATCAGGTATGATTCCTAGTTAATGATGAAAAAGCTTAAAGACTCGAGTTGTTACAAGGCAGGGTGAAGAGTTCCTTCTCTTTCTTTGAGATCTCCTCTAATTGTTTCTTTAAGTATTTCCAGCATAGGGCTATCCTTTCATTCTTTTTGCCTCCTTCGTGTTTCTACTTGTGGCACAAACAGTATATTCCACTGATGACCAGAGAACAGGGTTGAGTGCGATGGAATCACAAGAGCAGATATTGCAATGTATCCCCTTAAAACACAGATACCCGTGTACCTAGCAAACAACAGTAAAAACAAATGTCTCTTGCTTGTTGGGTTTCATAATTGGTGGATGATTACCCATGACCGGACACTTGGCATTCACCCTACCCAAAAAGGGAGGCAGAGAAGGAGGGAGGTACTCAGAGGACCTAGTCCTTGGACATGGTTATGTTACACAGGTATAAAGAAGGTCCTATATGTGACGTCATTGATTGTCTTCCCCTTAGTCACAGCTCTGCAACACTGCGACCAAAAGTCTACCAGCGTATTTCTTATGCTTTCCCTCCAACTGTGTCATCTAGCAGCATTTTCCCTTTATGAGCATACGGTGGTATATTTCTGATGATATGAATATGAACAGCTGTTTCCTTTATCCCTTTCTTCCTGGTGATTCAGCAGCACATACCTTCTCCATCCATACTCAGGTTCTCATAGGAGTCCCAGCGAATCAGTGGGTCTGCAGTATTGTAGTCAACAGTCACTCCATGGTCGTTGCGCACATGTTCAGAGCCTGCACAAGAATGGCAGATAGTGTCAGGCCCTGAAAACCCAGCACCTCCCCCCAGCTGACTGGGCCACATACGAGTGGTAGAAGGGAAGCTTCTAGACTCACATATCTCCTTGCTGCTGGTGTTAAGTGCCATCGAGTCGGTTCCGACTCGTAGCAACCTTGTGTACGATTTGCAAGGAGCAGCTGGTGGGTTTGAACAGCTGATTCAAACCTACCTTGCGGTCCAGCACATTCTTCTGCAGCGCCACACCAAGACTCCTCCACAAGCATAGGCAATTGCATTGATCAGAGATATTATGCATTTTCAACCAAATAAACAACACTTAAAAGCACTCGGGGGACAGGAAAGTGGAGTGTCATTTGGTTACTGTGTGCTGTTCTCTGAATGCTACATCTGAAAAATTGGACCACCTCGATCAAGGTCTAAATCAGAAACAATCCTAGAGGCATAACTCAGTTGCAGAGCAAATGCATGGGAGAGACACAATCTGTGTCCAGACTTTCTGGATGCCCAGGTCTTGGGTCCTTCTTTAAGTCATTTTAGGAACACCTTTAATAATTTTCCCACACAAGTCTGTCAATTAACTGCTCATGTCTAACTCTACAACACTGAGCATACACAAAAAAGGACAATTATTTTCCATAGTAATTAAAAACTCAATGAAAACCTTTTTGTATATGGGCCTCAGTGATGGAAATGAATCATTCACCTTGACAATGTTGTTGTTGTTGTTAAGTGCCGTCGAGTCGGTTCCGACCCATAGCGACCCTGTACAGGGTTTCCGAGGGTGTAAATCTTTACGGGAGTAGAAAGCCTCATCTTTCTCCCGCGGAGCGGCTGGTAGTTTCGAACCGCTGACCTTAAGGTTCGCAGCCCGATTCGTAAGCACTACGCTACCAGAGCACCTTGACAATAAAGAGGACGATTTCTTTTGAAATGCACTTTTTATAAGAAAGGAGAGTTTGTTTTACAAATAAATACTTGCAGGTCACTGCTTCTAATTATTAAAATAAGACAAAATAATGTCTAGGGGAGAAGTAAACACTCAGCACAAGCTCAGAGAGGACCAAGGGAAAGAGCTTCAAAGTCACCAGCAGGGCACAGTCTCTGGAGACAGTTTTGTCCCCCCACTTGGATAAGTGACTTGGGTAAATCATGCCATCTTTCAGGGTCTCTGCAACCTTATTTTCTCCAAGTGCCCAGCATTCAAATGTTCTCCCTTTGTTCTTATTTCTTATTATAAATACTTGAAGCCTACACAAAGATGGGAGTATTGGACAACCACAAAATGTATCCACTACTATCCTCAACCTCCACTAACATTAGGTCACCTAGCATCTAGCTAGTCTACCCACCTTGGATTTTCTCAGGAGTGGCGGAGAAAACGAATTCGATTTTCCCATAGTCAAGAAAACGGTCATCTAAAAGACAAAGTATATTTTAGCGAATTGGACATACAGAGGGAAGAAAACGGCATGGATACTAGGCATTCATTCTGCTCTTATACTTCAGCCAGCCCATTACTACTCCCAAACCAGCAATAACGTATCCAGGGGCCTAGAATCTATTAGGCAGTGTCATTGTTTTTCTATATATCTGTCTTTTTCTCTGATGAACCAATGATCAGCATTTTATGAGGCTGACACTAATTTCATCAATAGATTAAAATTACCGGAAGGAAGGTGAGGCTTGGGGGAACAGGAAAAGACCCTAGATAGGAATCGAGAGAACAGACAAGCAAGTATAGGAGTACTCCCACGAATACTGAGGACGCGACATCTCCTGTAGCCTCACCTTTGCTGGCGTCATCCAGCTCTTCCTTCCCAAACACGAGCCCATAACCCTGGACAGCTCCAGTGTGAAACTGCAAGCGGAAGATGACGTCGCGGGTAGCAGAGCGGTACTTCTTGTGGTAACACTTCACCTGGTGGAAGGAGGGCAAGAAAACACCCAACATTATTAATTCAACACTGTGTCTTCCACTTTTAAGACATGGGGCTGCCAGTTTAGATTGTGGGGTCAAATCCTAAACCTAGGACCCCTCTGGAGGCGTCTGCGCTCACCAATGGCTGCACAAGGAGGCAATACATTAACCTTACACTGGCTGCACAGTTTTGGAAGACTTTTTACTGTACTTCTTCTCTCATGTTATCTCAACAGAACTAATATTTTGAAATGTCATGATTTTTAATCTCCAGACAGGTCACACCTAAACCTGTTCAGATGGTAAGAAGGTGCCCTGTTTTGGAAGACACCTAGAGGACGACATTCCCTGGCACCTTTTCCTAAATTTTAACAACTGAGGAAGGCTTTCTTTTACCTAAGCTTCCCATGTTTCAACTTAAAGCCTTTCTATTTTCACACAATAAGAAGCTGATGGCCAGTAGCATCAGTGATAAGAAAAATGGTTATGTGCAGAGAGGGGAAGAAAGATGGAGAGAGATGCTTGCCGAGGCAGTCCAAATGTTCTGGAGGTGGTCCCTAAATACTGCGAAAGATATTTAAAACTGAGGAGGTGGTATCATCCCTTGAAACTCAGATTCAGCAGATGCTTTGAGACAGAGACCAGGTCTTACTGGTGACTGTGCCCATAAGCCAATGGGAAGCACTGGTTTCAAGGCCTTAGCACTCTCAGGGGATTAGTAGAGAGAACATGTGTGCAGCCTGGGCCACTTGGAAGAAGGCTGGCCTGCAGTATAATCAACAGGAATGAGGACAGTTAAGAGCTCTGTGCCGGAGGTAGGGCACACTCCCATACCCTAGACAAAGGGGCAGGAGTCCCTGCCCCGCATATGGAGCAGGAGAGCAGGCAACTCTTCAGGGAGTGTCAGAACCCAACAGCAGGTCTAACTCAGCTCTCAGATCAGAGAGCCTCGTAGCAGCTGACTCCATCATCAGTGAGAGGAAGCTGATTCAAGGGTAAGGTCCTCTCTGAGGTAGTCGCATTTCTAGAAAGATACTTTCAACAGATAAAGAAAGCTTAAAGTATTACTAACTGTACACAGTAAATGAGAACCCACAACAACTGTTATTCGTCACCTCTGATTCAGAGCAAGCCCATGTATGCCACAGTAAAATTGGCTTCCATAGAGTTTTCAGTGACTCATTTTTGGGAGTAGATTATCAAGCCTTTCTTCTAAGTTGCTTCTAGATGAACTGAAGCTTTCAATCTTCCAGGTAACAGTTGAGCATGTTAATCATTTGTACCACCCAGGTCATTCAAGATAGCAATAACCGGTATGGTATAAACTAGGGATGCAGAAGCATTTTGCAGATGGAGTTTCCTTTATCCCAGTCAACCAGAGGAACTATTCCACTGAAGACAGAAACAAGACACAGGAAGCCACGGCCAGGGTATGGGAGGGCTGTGGCCCTCTGGATAGAAACAGTGCTGTTTACCTTTGTCCTATCTGCAAGGAAACACTCTGATAAAGAAATCCCATCAAACTATCAGGGGATGTTTCATGTTGATAAACATTCCTAAGCACTTATTCCCATTGCTGGACTGTCCTGCCCACTGTCCTGTCCTTCAGGAGCAGAAATACTAAAACTCTAGTTTACTTTCCAACAGCAAACGACAACATAATCACCAACCATCCATCTCTGTAGAACTCTTACACATCTCTGGCTCCTTTAAGAATGTGCTAACAGAACAATTACGCCCTCTCCTCTGTGCTCCCAGACTCAGCCCACCACAGACCTTTCCCAAATGAACCTGCCCCATGTCTACTGCATTGGGCAGCTGTAGAAAGAAGCCCCTTTCAGCAGAGGGGGATCACTCCACACCCTCTGTCATTGAGGATAGTGACAACTGCCTCCTGCTTATCTTCTTCCCATTAGCTGCCTTGAACCAAGGGAGTGAAAAAAGATAGTGGGGAAAAGGAAGAGAGAGGTCCATATTTAATGTGTTCTGAGTCTCAAAACTTTAAACTTAAACAAAAGGAAGGTCACAAAAAATCTCCAGTCCACAAGAGAAACAGAGCCAGCAACCCCCACAATTTTGATACAGAGAGAATAAGCTGCCCAAAGAACAGAGCATCTGCTAAGACATGGGGTACATTCTGCCCTAGGAATAAGGGAACACTTCTAAGAGGAAGGTAGACTTTGGGTAAAGACATGACAAATGGGTGAATAGTTCCTGGTCAACTTCCTTGGGTCAGGGTGGGGAGCATTACAGCATTTCCTACAGCATTTTAGGCATACACAGTCTCATGGGAGTGGATGCAGCAGAGTGTCCACTCAGTCGTAACTCCCTTCTAGTGAACACACTTCACTTGCAATGATGTGATCCTCCTCTCCTATCTATCCAAGGTTATCAAACAATTCATTCCATTACTCCCAACCTTCATCTGCACAACTCAGCCAAACACAAATCGTGGTAGTCCTGGGAACGCAGGGGGAGAAGTCGGCCTTGGAAGAGTTCTCCAAGGTAGGAGATGGGGTTCTACCATTCCTGGTTTCTACCTCAGCTCCAAGTGCAGGCACCTGGCACTGAGTGGGATCCTAGAGTTTGAAGGCGAGGATTTGTTCACATTACAAATTTTCCAATTAGGGCTCAGAAAGGGAAGAATCAGGGAGCGATTTCAGTGTCACAGGACAGCTTGCTTGCCCTGCACGAACGTGACACTCTCGGAAGGGATTCCCATGCGTTTTGTGATAACACCACTGCATGCTGCCCTGAGATACTAACCCCTGAGTCAGAAGGTAGTTCATTAATGCACCCTCTGTTCACACTCCCTTCTTCCCCCCACCCCCCCGCCCCATATCAGGGGAGGGAAACATCACCCCACCCTAGTCCTCCTGATGGTCCTCAGGATCTGATATCAGCTCTCCTCCAAAATGTGCCACAGAAAACCTTCAGTGTCTCCCTGGTGTGGTGTTCCTGGCAATGTTCAACACTTCAGGTTTATACCTTAAGACAGAATTGAGCCACCAGCCAGGAGCACAGCCTCTGCCTTCTCAGGTGGCCTCCTGGGTGCCCAGAACGATGTGTCAATCAATGCATTTTAGCTTCACTGAATACAGATGAGAAATGTATTCTTAACACTTAGTGGAAAGAGTCATCAATATTTTGTTTGATACTAAGGCCTCAAATTCCTCCTTTTAACATAATAATCAATAGTAAAATTTCATAAAAGTCTCTGATTTTTCTTTTATCTCTTTGGCTTCAGTATGTTTACTTCTCTAGAGAGTTTCTAGAAAGCATTGGACTTTTCCCTTCAGATTTTAAACCACCTTCCCTTGAAACAACAAATAAAGAGGAATGTGATC